TTTTTTTTTTTTTTTAAGACAAGATGTTGTTCTCTGGTTCTGTCTCTCAGGCTGGAGTACAGTGATATGATCATAGCTCATAGCAACCTCAAACTCCTGGGCTCAAGTGATCTTCCTGCCTTGGCCTCCTGGGTAGCTGGGATTACACGCATGTTCTGCCACAACCAGCTAATTTAAATATTTTTTTGTAGAGATGAAGTCTCGCTAGGTTACCCGTACTGGTCTCAAACTTACAGGCTCAAGTGATGTAGGTGTGATCCACTGTGCCTGACCTGTCCCTTCTGTGTACAGTTGCCCCTTGGTATCTATGGGGGATTGGTTCTAAGACTCCAACCCCCATCCTTGTGATACCAAAATACATACTCAGTCCCTTACATAAAATAGTGTAGTATTTACACATATCCTATATACAGCTAAATGTTATGTAAATAGTTGTTCTACTATATTGTTTAGGGAATGATGACAAGAAAAAAAAATCTATATATGTTCAGTATAGACACAACTACTCTCCCTTAAATATTTTCCATCCTTGGTTGGATGAATCCACAGATTCAGAACCCACAGATACAGAAGGCCAACTGTGTTTGCATATGTTGTTACTCAAAGTTATGGTAGTTTTAAAAATGTGCAATCTGTACTGCAGTTACAAATTTTGTATTGATTTAAAGTAGGATCTTTGCAAATAAATCATGTAGTTGTTAGTGTTCCTAAGAAATTTTCAGTTAAATAAAAGGAATACAGAATGGCTACAGTTCTGATTAGTGAGATTCCGAGAACTGTGACTGAATTTTTTGGTCCTACATGGGCATGGTCGTTTGGTGCTTACTAATGAAAAATCCTAGCTGGTGTTAAGAGGACAAATATTTCTAATGTTAAACCTGGTTCAGTGAATCCTGGAAGGGCAGACTCTGCTGTTTGCGCTTCTTAGGCCCCCACTAGCCAATGCTTCTGTATTGGATGATCTATATAGTTTGCTGCCGGCACACTTTATGCATACATACAAGGTAGCGTAACTGGTGAATAACACCCAACCTACATTCATCATATTTAACAACTCTGTGAATAGGATGTGCTATAAGTAAAAATGGTCACTGTTGGGCAGCACCTGTGGCTCAAAGGAGTAGGGTGCTGGCCCCATATACCGAGGTGGTGGGTTCAAACCTGGCCCCAGCCAACAAAAAAAAAAGTTCACTGTTCTAGCCATAAAACCGTTCTCATGAAATAAAGATCTTTATGTATTGTAAAGATGTCTTGACTTGCACATACTCATTAGGACTGGTGCCCTTCTCTTCAGGGAGCATTCATTGTAAGTACCTGCCTCCTGCTAGATACTTTGCTAGATGACAGGGCTATAACATTGGGCAGGGGAGATGGTGGGACCAAGATGAGCAATAAACTTACAAAGCCTATTGGGGAAAGAGGTACAAAACATTTGACTACAGAATGATGTGGGAACCTAGAAGAGGGGTACTGAGTTTTACCTGGGGATTTGAGAGAAAGATGGTGATCTCTTATGATGGGTAGCCTGGTGAATCAAGGTGGGAAGACCCTTTCAGGCAGGTGGTATTATGTGAGTAAAGACGCAGTGGAGTGACTTGATACAATGTTGGGAGCTCCTGATTTTTAAAGAAACCAGACAGGTAAAATGTAACCTGTTAGACAAATGTAACCTGTTAGACAACATTCATCTTTGTAAAGAGTGTTTCTTGGGCTTTAGTCCTTGAGCAATGGGAAGTCATGGAGGGTTTTTTAAATTAATTTTTTATTGATTGATTTTTTTCGGGGGGGGGGAGGACAGAGTCTCACTCTGTGCCCTGGGTGGAGTGCCATGGTGTCATGCTAGCTCACAGCAACCTCAAAGTCCTGGGTTCTAGGGATCCTCTTGCATCCTTTTGCCTGAGCCTCCTGAGTAGCTGGGACTACAGGCATGTGCTACCATGCTGGGCTAGTTTGTCTATTTTTAGTAAAGATGGGGTCTCACTTTTTACTCAGGAGGGTCTTCAACTCCTGAGCTCAGGTGAGCCACCTGCCTTGGCCTCCAGAGTGCTAGGATTACTATAGATGTGAGCCACCTCACTGGGCCCAATGAGGGGTTTTAAGCACCGGCTTGATATGATCCAGGGAAAAACATCAGGCTTTTAGGCCGGGTTCAGACAAAACTTAGCCTTTGGCTAATGTGTTAAAAACTATTATTCCTTCTTAAGGTTTAAAGTAAGTGGCGACAGAAGTTTCCCAGCTGAATTGTCAGCAGCCGGTTGTGGAAGAGAACACAGTTTATTGATTTGCAACTGTCAAAGGCGTCTGCTGAAGTGGTTCAAAACCGGCCTTTGAACAGGGCAGACCTAGCTTTGTTTCCCCTTGGGTGTTCAGCAAGGGGGCCTTCGGCAAGCTTTGGGAGCTCTTCGGAGCCTCAGTTTCTCATCTGAGAAACAGGCACTGCAGTAAAACCTCCGGCAGGGCCCCCGCAGAACCGAGGTGCTGAAGGTGAGCTCCGCGGAGGGCCTCATGACTAGTCAGTGCTCTGCTCAGGACGCAGTTTTTCTGTAGTTGGGGTAAAGGGCTCATCCAGCAGCTAAGCTCCAACCCGAGACCTGCCACGCTCGCTCTGGAGGGCCCGCCGGGCCGGGCTGCCGCCCCTTGCAGAGATCTCCCGAACCGTCCACGGGGATCAGCCAAAGGGGCGGGAGAGGGCTCGGGGGACTTGGCAGCCGCTGGGGGAAGACGAGAAGCTGAGCCGGCCCCAGAGGCTCGCTGGCGAAACTTTGACGCCTTCTATTTAAAGTCGCAGCGTCCGCCTGCCCCGCAGGGCAGGGCAGGGCCGGGCCGGGCAGTCAGAGGGACAACACCGGGCGCGGGCGGCGGGCGGCTCCGGCCCGGAGAGGCGCGATGGCGAGCAGCGACAGCAGCCACGCCGCGGAGAGCTTCCCCGGCTCCGACGGGGACGAGGAGGCGACTCTGGGGCTGGAGACCGAGGAGGAGTCGGAGGGCGAGGAGGACGAGGCGGCGGAGACGGAGGACGAGCCGGACGCCAGGTAGCGCGGGCCTCGCGCCGCCGGCGGTCGCCGCTGATGGGGCTGGGAGTGCGGCCGGCAGGTGCTCCGCGGGCGCCACACGCCCTCCCTGCTTTGCTTCAACTTTTCAGTCTCTAGGCTTCATTTCTCCCGAGCCAAGCACTTTCCCTCTGGAGTGCCTTTTTAAAGAAGTTGAAGGTGAAGGTGCTCGCTGTCAGCCTGGAGTGACAGGCCCGCCTGCAGCAAAGTTCATCATCCCCGCCCCCAGCTCCGGGAGACTTGCTGCTCTTGTTTATTCCCGAGGATTAACTTAGGGTCCTGCCTCACTGCACAAATGTGCTGGAGTGCTTGCATCTGGCTCAAGGCACAGGAACGATCTTGAGAGCTGAGCCAGGGGAAAAGGGACTGGGGTGGGTGCACAGAGCTATCCTAGTACCTTCTAAAGAACGGCTGTCTCTAGGGGCCCTAACACGGGCTAGTTGCTATAATGGGGCTTCATTTAGGTACAAAGGCCTATACATTCTTTGGAGAAAAGCATGGGTTTCAATGACCCCTGCACATAGGATCCTGTTTCTTTTTTCATGGTTCCAAATACCACCATTTCAGTGAATATGGATGCAATTGAATGCTATGTAAAAAGATGGGTCTCCCACCCTTGGATCTCACCCTTTCTCCCTTCCTTTTAGAAGGCCCTAAAATGAGAAGAGTAGGGATCATCTTCTCTCTGGAAGAGTTGTCTGTAGCTTCCCTTGTTCTCTTGGAGAGTGGGCTTTTGCTTTTATCCTGGGCACATGTCAGTCAATTGTATCTCTTCCTAAATCTGTTCATATCATCAGTAGAAAGACTTTGAAGGGTCAGATGGATGTGTACTATTTCAGAATTCCCATCTTACCCAACCAAAGCCAGCAGAGCTGAGAGTAGCCCATGGAATGGCATTGATTAGGGTGGATGGCCAGTCACATAAGAAGTCCTGAATATCTGTCACATTTTTACCAAGTGAAGGCAGGCACAGTCTCTGCCTTCAAGGACTCTGGAAAGAAATACGGAGCATATGAGACTATATGCTTTAAATAAGTTAGAGGTGGAGGAGAGGACAGACTGTGGGGTTCTATGGAAAGTCAAAAGAGAGTGTAGAACTGGGACTGCCTTCAAGTAGCCGGCAGGAGAGAGCCGCAGAAAGGAAGAGCAGCAGAGAAGACATGTGGGAAATGAATGGAACAGGGAGCAGGGAACCTGTGATTCCTGGGCATTACTGAAGTCTCTTAATCCCAATTTCTGTAACCTTTCCCCTTACTGGTGTCTGCAACCCTCACAACCTTGCCTAAGAGAACCTGAAAACTCATTTACACTAAAATGTGAACAGCTAACAGTTCAAAGTACCACTTTGGGGTTGCGCTGTCCTTTGACAAAAGCTAAGACCTTCAGATAAAGATAGGATTTATCTGCAGTACATGTCAGCCTGCTCTGAGTGCAGACCGTGGACACTAGGGAAAGAGGGCAGAACATGAAGAGTGGAGGGAAAGTGGGGGGATAGGGTTGGGGTAATGGGGGCCTTGAGAAACGAATTTTTTTTTATTTTTGATTCAATGGCATGGATAACAAGGAGTCAGGAAAACTGAACTGGATTTAGAATGACAGACTGTTATTCTTAAAAAATTAGTCTGATGGGCAGATTGGAAAGTTGAGTTTCTGAGGGTTTGGATTGGGGAGGCTGTAGCAGAAAGAAAGGCACTGTCTAGGCTGTGGGCCATGGTGGGGCAGTGGGAAGGAGATGTTGGCTGGGGTTAGTTGCTGGGGTAGGTTAGAGGAGAGGGGCTTCTCAGAGAAATGGGAACCCTCACATCCCTCTTCCTGCAGAGTCGGCAGGCATCTAGCGGCTTTGTTGTGCATGAGTTTACAAGTGTCACCTGAAGTTCTATTTTTTATTTTTTTCTGAGCCTAGAGATGAGAACTTGGACTATTTTCTGATGGATGAAAGGTTGGAATGATGTGGCAGCCATCATTCTTTAACCCTTCTTCTTGGTTCTTCCTTCAAAGTTTTACAGCCTAAAGAGCACCTGCTCACCCTATACCAGTTATAAACAATTAAGTGCATGTTGTCTCATTTTAAAACCTCTCAGCAATGCTATGAGGTGATTGTCCAGTTACAGATGAGAAAATTGAGGCTTCATATCATTTTCTGAGGTTAAAGGAAAGTAAATGTTAGTAGAGGGACCACACCTATGGAGCATATTGCAAGTACAAGTTGGATCTATCAGGTGTAGAACACAAATGTCTTAATCCTGTAATTGGGTAAATGAGGTGAAGGCTATGTTGATTAGTAGGCTGTAAGCACTCCAATTTGTACAAATAATCAACGCATTGAATCCCATAATGGCATAAATGTATTCATGATCTATGTACAAATGACTTAATTAAAAAAAAAAGGCAAATAAATGTGAAAACCAACCAGTGAGCCTAGGTCTGTGTACACCAGTGCTTTCATTGGGCAGCAAAGCTCATCATATACACACAGCTATACTCGTGTCAGATCAGTGTAGCACCCTGCTGAAATATTCAGTGAAATGAATATGGGATATGGAATCAAGAGGCCTGGGTGCGAATCCTATTAGCCGTTCTCTCATGAGCAAATTCTGTCTTCTTTGAGCTCAATTTTTTTCTCATCTTAAAATAATGGTAATGATTCTGAATTCACAAGGTTGTCACAAGAATTGAATAAACTATGAACATGTGTAGGGCTGCTTGGCTCTTACTGGGTTCTCGGTAAGCGTTAGTTTCTTATATTCTTTCAGATGAATTATTATTGGCACCAAAAGTTTACCTTGTGTACATCATTCTTCAATGAGGGGAGAGTGATAGTCTCAGTTTTCAATATGAGTAATGATCCTATTCCACTTTGGCTTACCTCTATTCATTCAATCATTAAATATTCATGAAGGCTGGGGGCAGTGGCTCACACCTGTAATCCTAGCACTTTGGGAGACCAAAGTAGGTGGAGTGCCTGAGCTCAGGAGTTCAAGACCAGTCTGAGTAAGAACAAGACCCTGTCTCCACTAAAAATAGAAAAATTAGCTGGGCATAGTGGCGGGCACATGTAGTCCCAGCTGCAGGAGGCTTAGGTAAGGGAGTTCCTTGAGCCCAAGAGTTTGAGGTTGCTGTGAGCTATGATGACTCCAAGGCACTCTACCAAGGCTTCAGAGTGATACTGTCTCCAAGCAAACAAACAAAAAATGTTCATGGAGTGCCTACTAACTGCCACGGACCATGCATGCAAGGTGCTGGGGACACTAAAATTACTAAGAATCTATTACTGACGTCAAGTTGTTCACATGCTACGTGGAGAAAGAGAAAAACATGATTATGTTATTGGGTGTTAGAAGAGATTTAAGGAAGAAGAAGTCTGTATGAAATACCTTAAAGTAGGGAGAAAGTCCTGGCATCCGTACTGCCTGGAAGGGCTGGAAGAGGCTTCACCTCTGGAGCAGGGTTTTGAAGCATAATGAAGTACCCCAGAGGGCTTGTAGTTTGTGGATATCATAAAAGGTTTTTGTGTTGCTAAACTTCATACGAGGGCATGATCCATAAAACCCACAGGATTTTAGAGCTGGGAGAAGCTCTATTCCCAATCAAACCTTTAACAAATTCAGAAACCGTCAGGGCACATTTGTTCAAAGTCATACAAATGTTTAGCAGTTGAATTAAGAGTAGATCTCAGATGTCTGGACTCCAGTCAAGTGTTCATTAGTTAAGTCAGTCAGTAGATATTTATTGCACTCCTGCAACGTGCCAGCCATGTCCTAGGCACAAGGGAGGCAGCAGTGAAAAAAAGGAAAGTGTCTGCCCTCCTAAACCTGGCTTTCTAGTTTGGGGAGACAAAACAAATATACACAGGGTGCTAACTGCATATATAACAATTCTTGTATACGCATTTTAAGAAAGGAAAAAACTATTAAAATTTGTAATACTTAAGATATAATAATAATGTTTCTTACCTTGTATACTGTATCTAGTATCTCTTATAATTACAGAAGTCAAATGTGACTTGAGTATTACGATTTTAATATACTTTCATCCTTTCTTAAAATGCGTATTTTTTGGCACCTTCTGTATAACATTTTAGGCAGCAATAAATTATATGAGGACAAATACAGCAGACTCTACAGATAAGCTGTTTTGGACAGAGTGGTGAGAAGGCCCCTCTGATGAGGTGACATTTGAGCAGAGACTAATGTGTATTCCAGGGGAAGAGAAGAGCTTGTGCAAGTCAGGACTGTGTGGCCTGTTTGGGGAGTATGAGGTTAGGATGGTGGCGCAGAGTGAGCAAGTGGGAGAGCGTCGGGAGGGAAGTTCACCGAGATAGGTGGGTCACAGATCATGGCCTTCACAGGACTTTGAACTTTGTTCCGAGTAAAATAGGAAGCCGTGTCTACTATTCCTGTCAGAATTTGAAGATTAAAAACAAGAAAAATATGGTGATTGCAGTATTCTTTTAAATAAGAAGCACCTGCACATTCATATCTTCATTTAATATTTTCTAACACTTCCCATGCGCCAAACACTGTAAATAGAGCTTGTTACTTTTGTATTTTTCTGACTGTTGACCAAAAAAGCCCAGCTCTTCCAGCCTTTCCCACAGATCCCTTAGAAACTTTTCAGGGTTTTTATTTTGGATTGTTCTCTGTTGGTCGATTTTAATTGTTTAAGTTTAGAGGATTTTTGCCACAGCAGTACCCCAAACTTAAAAATCATCTTTAATTGCTGCTCTGCCAGGCCCTATTTAAAATAAGTCTGTCTAAGCTGACAGAACCAAAATTATTAGCGCTGTTCACACTTAACTAATAAGGAAACAAACCTTTTGGAAGGTGAAGGGAGTTTGGAACTGGTTTTTGTTATCAGTACGGAGCACTCTGTTTCCGTACATCTATTTATACCGTATCTCCCACTGATGTGCTTACCTAGGTGTTTTGACAAGTGTGTTATTTGAGCCAGTCCTCTTCTGAGGTCAGTGGAAAGAGCTGAGC